TAAAGGCTGTGCTAGTTTCCAGGCTACTAAAGGCTGTCCTGGTTCCTCGCTACTAAAGGCTGTGCTGGTTTCAGGCTACTAAAGGCTGTCCTAGTTCCAGGCTACTAAAGGCTGTCCTAGTTCCAGGCTACTAAAGGCTGTCCTAGTTCCAGGCTACTAAAGGCTGTCCTAGTTCCTCGCTACTAAAGGCTGTGCCAGTTCCAGGCTACTATAGACAGTGGCAGTTTTAGACTACTAAAGGCTGTGCTAGTTCCAGGCTACTAAAGGCTGTGCTAGTTCCAGGCTAATAAGGCTATGTGCCAGTTCCAGACTACTAAAAGGCTATGTTCGTTCCAGGCTACTAAAGCTGTGCTAGTTCCAGGCTACTGAAGGTTGTGCCAGTTCCAGGCTACTGAAGGCTGTGCTAGTTCCAGGCTCCTGAAGGCTGTGCTAGTTCCAGGCTACTGAAGGCTGTGCCCGTTCCAGGCTACTGAAGGCTGTGCTAGTTCCAGGCTACTGAAGGCTGTGCTAGTTGCCGGCTACTAAAGGCTGTGCAAGTCCACGGTCACTGTACATCAGGGGTGCTCTGCCCCATAACTAGCATTGCTTCAATGGAAGCCTCCAACCCCAGATGGTCACTACAGCTATGCTGACAGGTTCTCTTTGTTTCTTTGATATATTGGACTGACAACCAACCCCCCCCCTGTATTCACCTCTCATTGTCTCTTGTAAAGTGATGAGAAGGTCAGTTGTGTTGTCCTCTCCCTTGTCTAGACATGCCATGTAGCGCAATAGGCCCTCACAGTGCCCCCTCCTATATGTGGATCAACTCGGATCTACACAGCTGCCGCCATGATTCAGTACCTGTGGAGCACTTGGAGAGATGGCATGACTTGGGGCCGACATCTCCTGGAGGCCTCTGACCCTGATTGCTTTCTTCTGGCTCTACCTAATTCCAATGTGAATGGAGGAGGACTAACTAGATACTGAAAAAATATGTTTAAAAAATGGGACTGTCAGTGCCGGGACAAGGTCACCCAGCACCCATGGCAAAGATGCCAAACTGCACCCCCCCTCCCCCATTTCTGATGTGCAAGCTTAGAGGGTCCTAGTCAAAATCACTGCCGCTATCACTACCCCTGTCAGCCTTGTAACAGGAGGAAGGTGCCCCCATCCCTACAGTAAACCATTGTGCCCAGGGCAGCCACCCCCCCCCCCCCACCCACCACTTGTCCCAGTAGAGGGGACTGTGGTGGAGGAATAGGGACTGTCCACTTTAAAAATCAGGTTTTATCTTCAGGTAGTTAGAGAACAAAACACATTTTCAAAGGTTGTGAGATTTATATACAGTGCAGAAGTCTCTTGGTCCCCGATGGGGGGGGGGACATTACTGGATGTCTCAGAGTTGGGTTCTTTATCCCGCGGCTTCCTCTTGTGTCCATGTTAACCTTGGACGGTGTCAGGCATCGATGCCCGAAATATTTACCACGTGGCTCTTGTCGGAGGTCCCCTTCCTATAAAGGTCAAAAAATTATGTGTGAAGAATTGGTTGGTGTCATCATATATGTAAACCTTGAAAATGAACGTCTTCTAATAATGGACTTCTAATAATGGACTTCTAATAATGGACTTCTCCTAATAATGGTCTTCTCCTAATAATGGACTCTTCTCCTAATAATGGACTTCTCCTAATAATGGACTTCTCCTAAATAATGATCTTCTCCTAATAATGGACTTCTCCTAATAATGGACTTCTCCTAATAATGGATAATGATCTTCTCCTAATAATGGTCTTCTCCTAATAATATACCTCCTAATAATGGACTTCTGCTATTAATGGACTTCTCCTAATAATGGACTTCTCCTAATAATAGACTTCTCCTAATAATGGACTTCTCCTAATAATGGACTTCTATTAATGGACTTCTAATAATGGACTTCTCCTAATAATGGTCTTCTCCTAATAATATACCTCCTAATAATGGACTTCTGCTATTAATGGACTTCTGCTCCTAATGGACTTCTGCTATTAATGGACTTCTCCTAATAATGGACTTCTCCTAATAATGGACTTCTCCTAATAATGGATACTATTAATGGACTTCTATTAATGGACTTCTCCTAATAATGGACTTCTCCTAATAATGGACTTCTCCTACTAATGGATTCTATTAATGGACTTCTATTAATGGACTTCTCCTAATAATGGACTTCTGCTATTAATGGACTTCTCCTATTAATGGACTTCTCCTAATAATGGACTTCTCCTAATAATGGACTTCTCCTAATAATGGACTTCTCCTACTAATGGACTTCTCCTAATAATGGACTTCTCCTAATAATGGACTTCTCCTAATAATGGACTTCTATTAATGGACTTCTAATAATGGACTTCTCCTAATAATGGTCTTCTCCTAATAATGGACTTCTCCTAATAATGGACTTCTCCTACTAATGGACTTCTCCTAATAATGGACTTCTCCTAATAATGGACTTCTCTATTAATGGACTTCTAATAATGGACTTCTCCTAATAATGGTCTTTCTCCTAATAATACCTCCTAATAATGGACTTCTGCTATTAATGAACGTCTCTCCTAATAATGGACTTCTCCTAATAATGGACTTCTCCTAATAATGGATTCTATTAATGGACTTCTATTAATGGTCTTCTCCTAATAATGGATTCCTCCTAATAATAGACTTCTAATAATGGACTTCTCCTATTAATGAACTTCTCCTATTAATGAACTTCTCCTACTAATGGACTTCTATTAATGGACTTCTCCTAATAATGGACTTCTGCTATTAATGAACGTCTCCTAATAATAGACTTCTCCAAATAATGGACTTCTATTAATGGACTTCTATTAATGGACTTCTATTAATGGACTTCTCTTCTAATAATGGACTTCTATTAATGGACTTTTAATAATGGTCTTCTCCTAATAATGGATTTCGCCTAATAATGGACTTCTAATAATGGACTTCTCCTAATAATGGACTTCTCCTAATAATAGACTTCTAATAATGAACTTCTCCTATTAATGGACTTCTCCTAATAATGGACTTCTATTAATGGACTTCTCCTAATAATGGACTTCTAATAAAGGACTTTTTCCTAATAATGGACTTCTAATAATGGATTTTTCCTAATAACGGACTTCTAATAATAGATTTCTCCTAATAATGGACTTCTAATAATGGACTTCTCCTAATAATGGACTTCTCCTAATAATGGTCTTCTCCTAATAATATACCTCCTAATAATGGACTTCTGCTATTAATGGACTTCTCCTAATAATGGACTTCTCCTAATAATGGACTTCTATTAATGGACTTCTCCTAATAATGGACTTCTCCTAATAATATACCTCCTAATAATGGACTTCTATTAATGGACTTCTCCTAATAATGGACTTCTCCTAATTAATATACCTCCTAATAATGGACTTCTGCTATTAATGGACTTCTCCTACTAATAAATTCTATTAATGGACTTCTATTAATGGACTTCTCCTAATAATGGATTCTATTAATGGACTTCTATTAATGGTCTTCTCCTAATAATGGATTTCTCCTAATAATAGACTTCTAATAATGGACTTCTCCTATTAATGAACTTCTCCTAATAATGGACTTCTCCTAATAATGGACTTCTCCTAATAATAGACTTCTAATAATGGATTTCTCCTATTAATGGACTTCTGCTATTAATGAACGTCTCCTAATAATAGACTTCTCCAAATAATGGACTTCTATTAATGGACTTCTCCTATTAATGGACTTCTATTAATAGACTTCTCCTAATAATGGACTTCTCCTAATAATAGACTTCTCCTAATAATGGACTTCTAATAATGGACTTCTGCTATTAATGAACTTCTATTAATGGACTTTCTCCTAATAATGGATTCTATTAAAGGACTTTTCCTAATAATGGACTTCTAATAAAGGACTTTTCCTAATAATGGACTTCTAATAATAGGACATTTCTCTTAATAATGGACTTTCCTAATAAAGGACTTTTCCTAATAATGGACTTTAATAATAAAGGACTTTTCCTAATAATGGACTTCTAATAATGGACTTTTCCTAATAATGGACTTTTCCTAATAATGGACTTCTAATAATGGACTTCTAATAATGAACTTCTCCTAACAATGGACTTCTTCTCTTTGGTCCCATTTGGTCTTTTAACTCCACCACTGAGGCCCCTTGCACACGGGATCGTCCAGCTGCTCCTTCTAGGGTGACAACCATGCTCCTGCATATATGCAATACAGTGAGAGAAGGAAAAAAAGATTTTGCCAAAAGTCTTGTATTTTGGCATCATCGGGAAATTACTTTTTGGGGTTTTTAAGAGTTTTTAAGGGTTTGGGCTGCTGCATTTCTGGTATGGCCTTGAGGTTGTTTCCACACGTATACTTGGAATAATAGAAAAGAAGGAGCGCCCTGGTGAAGGGAAAGTCTTTTCTCCCAAAACGCGTTGGTTGATGTACTTGTTGTTACTCTCAATAAACGCCTCTTAATCTACCATCAACAGTGCATTCTTTTGGACATCGGCCGCTCCTTCTTTTCTATTACTCCAATCAGACATGGAACTGTCCACTGACAGTAGGTGTGCAGCAGACGGAGATGGGAGAAGGAAACTTACTTGAGGTCATCCTCCAGCTTGACCCTCGGCGTTGGTCTACCCAGTATGCTGGTGGACAAGAACATGAGGAAGCCGCGGCGTCTCGTTCTGTAACAAGTCAGGTCTACGGCCAGCAGGGTCACCAAGAATATAAGTAAGATGATCCCAGCGATGACTCCGGCTCCGACACGGGCAGGCTCTAAAGGGACACAAGGAGGTCGGTTAGAAACTCTTGCATTTCTTTTGGTGTTTTGCATGGAAGGTAGTAATGAAACTCCTTCTTAATAAAAATATTTTTGGCCATTTATTTATAATTAGCTTTAATTATAAAAAATTTAGGTAAAAAGTTGTTAAAACGTCAACACACAATGATCACATAAAATGTCCTTCCTTCAAAGGACGACTAGAGGTCTATATATAGGTAGACCAGCGTTTCTCAACCTTTTTTTCGTCAAGACACCCTTTAAATTTATAGACAGTCCCGAGGCACCCTTTAAAATTATGGACAGTCTTGAGGCACCCTTTAAAATTATGGACAGTCTTGAGGCACCCTTTAAAATCATGGACAGTCTTGAGGCACCCATTAAAATTATGGACAGTCTCGAGGCACCCTTTAAAATCATGGACCGTCTTGAGGCACCCTTTAAAATCATGGACAGTCTTGAGGCACTCTTTAAAATGATGGACAGTCCTGAGGAACCCTTTAAAATCATGGACAGTCTTGAGGCACTCTTTAAAATGATGGACAGTCCTGAGGAACCCTTTAAAATCATGGACAGTCTTGAGGCACCCTTTAAAATCATGGACAGTCTTGAGGCACCTTTAAAATGGACAGTCCTGAGGAACCCTTTAAACAGCCTTGAGGCACCCTTTAAAATCATGGACAGTCTTGAGGCACCCTTTAAAATCATGGACAGTCCTGAGGCAAAATCATACCAGTCTTGAGGCACCCTTTAAAATCATGGACAGTCTGAGGCACCCTTTAAAATTATGGACAGTCTTGAACCCTTTAAAATCATGGACAGCCTTGAGGCACCCTTTAAAATCAGGGACAGTCTCAAGGCACCTCATTCTAAAATGTGAAAAACTATTCTAATCGTTTTATATAGTGCAGCAACATCCACACATGTAGAACACCCAACGTTAGAGGTGGTTTATTCTTCCAAAGCAAATATACTTTTGCACACGGGTACCGACTAGTATGCCTATGTTTCTCTTCTTCCTCAATTTTTCTCCATCACTGAGCTAACGTGACCACAGCACTGATGGAGAGGGGTGGGGGAGGGTCAAACTAGGCAACCAACATCCTCCTTATCAGCTGATGGTGTCATTGGTTGTCAGGATGCTGGTATCTAGAAGGTTGCTATGAAAACCCGTGGCTTTGTGTAACTAAAAAGCCAACTTGTATACAAGTTTTGGGCAATTTTTAGACATTTTGCCAAGGCACCCCAGAAGAAACCTCAAGGCACTGCTGAAGGAACCTCAAGGCACCCCTGAAGAAACATCAAGGCACCCCTGAGGGATCCTCAAGGCACCCCTGAAGGATCCTCAAGGCACCCCTGAAGAAACCTCAAGGCACCCCTGAAAGAACCTCAAGGCACCCGTGAAGGAACCTCAAGGCACCCCTGAAGGAACCTCAAGGCCCTCCTGAAGGAACCTCAAGGCCCTCCTGAAGAAACCTCAAGGCCCTCCTGAAGGAACCTCAAGGCCCTCCTGAAGGACCCTCAAGGACCCTCACACCCTGAAGGACCCTCAAGACACCCCTGAAGGAACCTCAAGACACCCCTGAAGGAACTCAAGACACCCCAGGGTGTCTAAGTACCCTGGTTGAGAAAGGCTGAGCTAGACATATCAGCAAGTACCCTTATTGCCACCACCCATAAACCTAAAACAGGCGTTCCTCGGTTTACGAATTTAATGCGTTCTGCGGGACTTTTCATATTGCAAAAAATTTGTAAACCAAAACGCGGTTTTCCGTAGGAATGCATAAAAACCAATCAATCCATTCCGGAGGTCAGAAAAAAGTATTTGTCGCGACAAATGATGTCATACATCCCAGGAGTCTTCAGGAGTGGAGGGGGGGTTCTCAGCTCAGCAAATACCTCAGCTAAGGGCTGATGGATTCCAGGAAGTAAATAATACATGAATCATCTGCCCTTACTCAAGATGGCTGTGGCTAGAAATGCTAGGGGGTGGGGGGGTTCAAAGTGATGCTGGGGATGTTAGGGATGGATGGGGGAGTTTGCTTTGAATATTAAAAATGAATAAAAAATTCATTAAAAAATTTGGGTACCTGATCCCCAAAGGTGCCAATCCTTAATGGGGAGCAGTCCTTAAAGCGGAACTTCCCCTTTTGGGTGGAGCTCCGCTTTAAATTATATAAAACGTTTAATCTGTAAGGCCCAGAGGCCGAGCAGTTCCACTCGAAAGTTAAATTGCCTCTAAAAAAAGAATGATAAACTTTTCATTAAAATCTGTAAACATTTATGGGGATAAAGAGGTGATGCTGCAGAAATAACAAGTATGCTGGGCAGGCGTGTGTTGGAGGTGCGATGTGCACACGCCAAGCGTACCGATTACTTGCAGGGTCAGCGTTGTGCTCTGTTGTCCCCAGGCTGTTGCTGGCGTAGCAGGTGTAGTTCCCTTCATCGGCCTTGGCCAGGTCAGTGATGGAGAGATGAAGACCATTGGAGCTCAAGATGTATTTCTGTCCATCATGGCTGACCACCTCTTGTCCTCTGATGGCAACAAAGGCGGAAATTATATTTTTGTTGAAATTGCTGACCAATCTGTCCATCAATAGGACAGACAGACAGACAGACAGACAGGCAGGCAGGCAGGCAGGCAGGCAGGCAGACAGACAGGCAGACAGACAGACAGACAGAACAGACAGACAGACAGATTCGGCTTCTACATGCATGTATCCAAGTCTGGTTACATGTATGGTTTGCATATGTTTAGAAAATAGATTGTAAGCTCTTTAGAGACTGATGGGACTGTGGGGGAGGGGACATTAGAGTGTAAGCTCCTCTGGTGCAGAGACTGATGGGACTGCGGGGGAGGGGGGACATTAGAGCGTAAGCTCCTCTGGTGCAGAGACTGATGTGACCGCGGGGGGAGGGGACATTAGAGCGTAAGCTCCTCTGGTGCAGAGACTGATGTGACCGCGGGGGGAGGGGACATTAGAGCGTAAGCTCCTCTGGTGCAGAGACTGATGTGACCGCGGGGGGAGGGGACATTAGAGCGTAAGCTCCTCTGGTGCAGAGACTGATGTGACCGCGGGGGGGAGGGGACATTAGAGCGTAAGCTCCTCTGGTACAGAGACTGATGTGACCGCGGGGGAGGGGACATTAGAGCGTAAGCTCCTCTGGTACAGAGACTGATGTGACCGCGGGGGAGGGGACATTAGAGCGTAAGCTCCTCTGGTGCAGAGACTGATGTGACCGCGGGGGGGAGGGGACATTAGAGCGTAAGCTCCTCTGGTGCAGAGACTGATGTGACGCGGGGGGAGGGGGGGACATTAGAGCGTAAGCTCCTCTGGTACAGAGACTGATGTTATTGTGGGGGGGGGGACATTAGAGCGTAAGCTCCTCTGTTCAGAGACTGATGGGACTGTGGGGGGGGGGAACATTAGAGCGTAAGCTCCTCTGTTCAGAGACTGATGGGACTGTGGGGGAGGGGACATTAGAGCGTAAGCTCCTCTGGTATAGAGACTGATGTGACTTTGGGGGAGGGGGCATTAGAGTGTAAGCTCCTCTGTACAGAGACTGATGTGACTGGCTCAGTGTTCTCTGTACAGCGCTGTGGTATAGGTCAGAGCTATATAAATGTAAATAATAGTGTGTGACTGTGGGGGAGGAGGCATTAGAGTGTAAGCTCCTGTGGTACAGAGACTGATGTGACTGTGGGGGAGGGGACATTAGAGTGTAAGCTCCTGTGGTACAGAGACTGATGTGATTGGCTCAGTTTTCTCTGTACAGCGCTGCGGTATAGGTCAGAGCTATAAAAATACACGTATAATTGTGAAATTGGGTGTCTGTGGTGGGGACATTAGAGTGTAAGCTCCTCTGGCGCAGAGACTGATGGGATGGGACTGTGGGGGAGGGGACATTAGAGTGTAAGCTCCTCTGGCGCAGAGACTTGTACAGTCCTGTATTGAACAAATGAAAATAAATAACAAAGTAACATTGCAGCCACATTGGAAGGACGAAACGCGTCGCTATGTTTTCCTTTCTGCATATTAGGATATAAAGGGTATTCACCTCTTCCAGACGATGTCAGGCTTGGGGTGTCCGGTCACAGAGCAGGTGAACGAGGCGTTGGATTTGGAAGCGATTTTGGGGAAGGACTCCTCAATGCTGACCTCCGGAGCCGCTGAGGAAGAGAAGCTTGTGGTTAAAACCGGAAGGAACGGATCAGAAGGCAAGTTGTAGGCGGAGGACGAGGCGAGGTCTCACCGTTCACCGTCACAGACACGTTCTTGTACTCAATCTCATTGCGTTCTCGGATGTAGGCCTGGCAATAGTACATCCCGGCATCCGCCAGCTGGATCTTGTCTATGGTCAGCGTCCCATCCCGAGTCGCTGAAAGGCGGCCTAAACCGAAAAAAAAGTCAAATTTTTAAAAAATTATTTTCTGTAAATAATGCCAGCCATAGACGGGTCGAAAATCAGCTGATTTTCGCACCGTTAGTGGGTTAATTGGTCGGCCGTTTTTCGGGTTTTGGCACATTTTTTTAAATCGGTCAAGTTGCAAAATTCGCGGCCGATTTTGACGATCGGACGATTTTCCCGGTAATGATGGGCAAATCGGCCGATCGTTTTACCGATAAAAAATCTGCGCATGAGCCGTGACCTGCAAGAGGAAGAAAAAGAAGAAGAGGATGCAGAAGAAGAAGAAGAGGATGAAGAAGAAGAAGAGGATGAAGAAGAAGAAGAAGAGGATGAAGAAGAAGAGGATGCAGAAGAGGAAGAAGAAGAAGAGGATGAAGAAGAAGAAGAATTCCAGTCCGCTATTATATTTTACACAAAAAAGTCTTGCGGTTGCAACAATGTATCCATTTGTATCCGAATAAAAACATCTGTATCTAAAATGACATTGACCAACACCACCCCCCCTTGCCCCCCCCGTGGAGAGAGCCTGACATTGATCAACACCACCCCCCCTTTGCCCCCCCTATGGAGAGAGCCTGACATTGACCAACACACCCCCCCCTTGCCCCCCGCTGTGGAGAGAGCCTGACATTGACCAACACCACCCACCCCTTGCCCCCCCATGGAGGAGAGCCTAACATTGACCAACACCCCCCCCTTGCCCCCCCCATGGAGAGAGCCTAACATTGACCAACACCCCCCCCCCCCCCTTGCCCCCCCTGTGGAGAGAGCCTGACATTGACCAACACCCCCCCCCCTTACCGTAGAGAGAGCCTGACATTGGCCAACAACACCCCCCCCCTTGCCTCCCCCCCCACCCTGTGGAGAGAGACTGAAAACCGACCAACACCTCCCCCACTTGCCCCCCCCATGGAGAAAAGCCTTACATTGACCAACAGCACCCCTGCCCCCCACACCCAGGAGAGCCTTTCGCTAACACACATCGCCCCTGCCTTCCCGGCGAGGGACAGACACTCACCTTCACAGCTATGGACATCTCCGGGAAGGAGAGTCAGGCTCTGCATACACCACCAAGCAGCCCGCAGCCTCTCTCAGATCCTACCTGCTCCCCGTGTCCGCATGTGTACCTTTTTCTGTCCCTTCTTCCAGGGAACGGTGCTGCCCCCCTGAAAGATGCCGCCCTAGGCACATGCCTTGTTTGCCTTGTGGTGAATAGGCCCCGCCTTAGGGGTCTAGTTGTAATACATTTGTTGCACGAATGTCAGAAGGTGAATGCCCCAGCTCCACCTAGTGGCCAAAATGTGG